TTGTGCTGAGCACATCCCTGGAGCAGTCGGGGTCCGGCTGCTTGTCCTGGGTGCAGCCCTGCTCTGTGCCCCCGTTCGCGTGGGCAGCTGTGGGAGGAGGCGAGGAGAGTAGGGGAGGGAAAGTCGTGGGGAGGCAGAGCAGAAGATGGATGTGAGACGGTCCACCGGGAGGGGATCGTGGCAGCAGGGGTCAAAGTGGCCAGCAGGCCCAGCCGGCCTGCAAGGTGTCCCAGGTGCAAGGTGTCCCAGGGGGGATACTCCTTTCCACAAGCTGCGTCCTCGTTTGACCGCCCTGGGAGATGAGACCTGATGTGAGGCCCTCACAGAGCTCTGCGGCCCTGAGGGGCTTTCCTGACGGACCCGTGGCCCATGGGTCCATCTGCCCCACATTGCCCTGGTGGGTGAAGCCATCACTGACTACGCCAGGGCTGGAATGAGCAGCTCCTCCAGGCACTGGTTTCTCAGACCTTTGCCCCCCTCATCAGCAGAGACCCCTGAAAGCTGCCCCATGCTGAGTCTCGGTCTCGTGGTCCATCGGCCCCAGTGTTGCCCACACCAGCTGGCAGCCACAGCCTCCCAGGGACTGAGGCAGGTCTGTCGCCCAATCCTACCATGCCAGGATTGAATTTGGGACCTGCATACAAAGCCGGCTGCAAGCTTCAGCCCCTGAGCACATACTGAGATTTTTTTTAAATCGGCAGTTATTTCTCTCAGCGGTCGCATTTGTTGAGAATCTTCCAGTGCCTCCCTTCTGGTTAGCCCACGAGGTCTGCATATTTTCACTGTTGTGGGGAAACTGGCGTGCCACATGGACAAGTTCATGTCTCCGCTATGAACGCTCTCCTCGCGTGGTCTGAGCCGCCAGTGGCCTTGCAGCACGGAAGAGAGCAAGCTCCGGTCCCTTGCGGCCACCGGGTTGCACGTGTACGAATTTTTCAGTTGCAGGCGGGTTAAGAACACAGGGAGAAGGTCCTGCTGAATCAGACCAACTGTCCGTCTAGTCCAGTTCCTACCGTGGCAATCGGTTTTGAAAGCCATCCCTTTTAAAACCGGCTTTTAAAACCCTAAAGCCATCCAGTTTGGTGGCCATCACCACTTCCCATGGGAGCAAATTCCTCAGGTTAACTATATGCTGTGTGAAGAAGTCCTTTTTATATTTACTTATTTAAAGTTTTTGTATGCCGTCCCCTTGCTATATAGCCTCGGGACGGTTCACACCAATAAATAAATATCATACAAATACAAATTGACATTTTATCTGACCTAAACTTCCCACCTGTCAGCTTCATGGGATGCCTCTGAGTTTGAGTGTTGGAGAGGGAGAATAGTCTCTCTGTCGCCACTTCCTCTGTGATCTTAACCACGCTCCCCCTTCCTTGTCGTTTTCCAAGCTGAGCAGTCCCGGTTGTTGTAGCCGCTCCAGGCTCCGCTTGTTTTTGTTGTCCTCTTCTGCACTTTTTCCAGCTAAAAAAGCTGTTAAAAGGCCAGATTCCAACTCTAATAAATAAGGTGACATTAAATGATTTCTCTACTTGTCTCACGTGGAATTCCAGCAATATTTTCTGTAATCCGTATTTCTGCAGCCGACTACAGGCAGCCCGGTGATACCTGGCCAAGTCTAATGTGTTGTTCTTGCCTCCAACAGACGACACTACATCACAAACATCCACAAAGTCAGACGGCCACAGCAGAAATCATTTTGAAACGAAGATAGTTTCTAGCAGCCTAACTTTTATTCATCTGCATGCCCTTGGGAAATTCCAAGATGAATTCCCTAGGCCAGCAAGCAAAGAGAACAGAAAACTTGGGCATTTCACAGTGATGAATAAATTCATGTTCGTGTACTTGCTTTCATTTTGTGCCATCCGGTCATCTCCGACTTTTGGCACTCCGATGACTGACCGCCTTCCCAAATTTCCTGTGTTTGATGTCCCTTCCAATAAAGAAAGTAAGTCACAGCCCTGAATTTAGAAGAGCTGAGCTGCAGGCCCTTTTGGGAGGCCTTCAACCCAGGGCCACCATAACTCAGAGTTAACTTGCCGGCATGGAAAAACATATTATTGCCCCCTGTAAACTTTGTACAAGCCTGAGGAAGGCTGAGCTTCAGATTCATTTTGTAAAGACTTTGGTGTTTTGGCCAGGTTTTTCCCATGTGGACCCTCCCAGGCTTCCAATAGGAAATGCATGCAGTTTTCTGACTCCACTGAAAAACTTTATACGCCTCTCTCCAGTGGTAAAAAGGCTACCAGTGAGCGTTCATTCAGTGTAAGATGTAGAATTCAGAGTCCGGCTGCATTTAAAATTATCATTCAGGAGGGAAAGATTTCAGTGCCAGGCACTCTTCATTTTCTGAAAGGTCTCTGCCAACAGGTGCACTGCACCAGTCTGGGGCCATACTAAAGCTGTTCAGAAATATGCAGTTACCAGTCGCTTTCTGAGCACAATTCAAGGGGTTGATTTTTGTATTCAAACTGCTTTAGACCTGTCTAAGGAAACAGCTTGTTGTGAATCAGCCCAGTTATTAAGATCTTGGGTACAAATGCCAAATCCTCCACTACAAGACGGGGAACGCTTGGCTCAACAATGCTGCAACTGAGAAGGATCCTGGGATTGCTGCCCATCACAAGCTTAAACATGAGCCAGCAGTGTGATGCAGCTGCAAAAAGGGCATATACTATTTTAGGCAGCATCAACAGAAACAGCGCTTCCAAAACATGTGAAGTAGTGGTTTTCCTCTGTTCAGTACTAGACAGACCTTACCTGGAGTCCTGTGTCTAGTTCTGGGCACCAAAGTTTAAAAAAAATGCAGAAAGGCTAGAAAGAGCACAGAGGAGGTCAACAAGGATGCTTCAGAGACTGGAAGCAAAGCCCTCTTAGGGAAGACTGAGAGAACCGGGCCTGTTCAGCCTCAGGAAGAGACGACAGACGGGAGATATGATAACACCCTACAAGTACCTGAAAGGCCGTCACAAAGAAGCAGCACAGGATCTCTTCTCATCCATGCTAGAGAGCAGGAAACAGAATAACAGCGTTTAGTTAGAGGAAACCAGATTTAGAGTAGACGTGAGGAATAATTTCCTCACTGTCAGAGCCGTACAACTTTGGAACCAATTACCTGGGGAAGCTGTGGGCGCTCCCTCACTGGAGACATTCAGAAAGCATCTGGACAGCCATCTGAGCGGGATGGTGTGACTTGGTGTCCTGCCACAGCAGGGGTTGGACCTGATGGCCTTCGGGCCCCTTCCAGCTCTACTATTCTATGATTCTAGGATCTGAAGGAGAGGCTGTTTTGGGGGCACCATGACTAGGAAAGACCATTTGCTGGGCACAAGCAGAAGTACTTTCTCCCGTGCTGCCTCCAAACTATGGAGAGCACTCCATTGAAAACTACAAATGCATCCCGGTCAACCATTTGGAAAGAGTTGCAACTTTTTAATTTGGCCTTTCAAAATGTGAGCAATCAGTGCTCTTGCTTTCGTAGTTTTAAAGCTTTGCCTCCCATTGTATTCATCAAGATTTGATCTCATTCATTTTTAATCTGTGTTAATAAACCTGAGCTCATTTCCTACTGTAATCAGGTACAGCACATAACCAACAAGGCGATGCCATGCCTAGGAAAAGATGTTACTAATTAGTGTTCTGCGTGTGCAAATATAGAAATACAAATGTATTTACATGTGTTAATGATGATATTCATTTCTGGTCAGGGTTAAGAAAATTCATGGCTGGACACTCACCTCTAACCTGGAGTGCTCCAGGGTCACACCGTGGGAAAGTTGTCCAAAATGTTTATTTCAGAAAATCCCAAAAAGATCACAAGTAAGGAATAACAAAATGGAAGAAACCCATAACCAGTAATAAAACTGTAAGAGCCAGTGTGGTGTAGTGGTTAAGAGTGCAGGACTGGGACTCAGGTGATCTGGGTTCAAGTCCCTGCTCAGCCATGGAGCCAACAGCGTGGCTTTGGGCCAGTCACAGACTCTCAGCCCAGCCTCCCTCACAGGGTGGTTGTTGTGGGGATAAGACTGAGCAGGAGGAGCCAAATGATGTAAGCCACTTGAATTCCTTGAAAGGAAAAACAGTGGGATGTAAATATAATAAATAAGAATAAAAACAAGGAGAGGACATTCTGAAGGCATTCATTCATTCGTTTGTTCGTTCATTGGGTTGCCAAAAGTCAGAAACAACTTGACATCTTGGAACGGCAACTATCACGGGTGGGCAGTGCTGCTTAAGCAAGCGTGGTTTTAGTTGTCAGTGGAATCGCTCCACATTCGGAGCCTGCCTGATCTCAAATGGAAATAATTATATGTGGGGTGAGGAATGCTTTTTTCTTTCTGGTGCCAGGCAAAACCCTTTTTATTTTCCCCTTAGTTTATTTATTTAGGGGACTTCTATGCCGCCCCATCCGCCAAAGCCTCGGGGCGGCTCACAAAGCCCTTTAATGTTTAATCAGTTTTAATATGGTTTTATATAATTGAATTACTGGATGCTCTGCCATTTTATCTGTTGCTTGTCGTAAACCGTCCTGAGACGCCAGTAGATGGATGGTCTATAAAAGCTTTAAATAAATAATGTGTCGGAGAAGATGGTGTCTCCTTTGCCTGACAGAGTTAAGGAGAGAACTCGTCCGTAGGTAGCTGTAGGAAAACCGCTCTAGATAAGAGAGAAGGAACCAAGGCAAAAGGATGAGTGTTTTGAGCTGCATCTTGAAAGGGTTGCCCTTAGATAAGGTGTGGACGAAGGAAAATTCCCAGCCTTGGGAAGGGAAGGGGCCTAGTTGATGGTGGTGAGAGGGTGAGATAAACTATAAAAGCTTTATTCTAATTCTGCACTGTGCAGTGCAAGGCATTCTGCCTGACACGTCTAATAATCAGGTCGGCAGCCATGCATGCCATATTCTTAATAATTATTGCGGGTTTGCTCCCCCCCACCCCCGTTTCTGTGGCCCATTTCTTGGAGGATCCCACATCTGCAGGGGTTAAACAAGCCAAAGCAGCTGCGGTGTGTCAGAAACGGGTCAGGCCCTTTCTCGCCTCACCAGCTTTGGGGTGCAAGCCAGGAAAGAGGTAGGTGGGAAGGGAGAACGACTGGAAACTCGGAGCCACACATTTTATTTATTTATTTATATTGCGATTTATACCCTGCCTTTTTCCTACAAAGGGCTCAAGGCCGCTTACATCATTCTCCTCCTCCATCTTATCCCCACAACAACAACCCTGTGAGGTAGGCTGGGCTGAGAGTCTGTGACTGGCCCAAAGGCACCCAGTTGGCTCCATGGCTGAGCGGGTTGCTTGAGCCCCTCGAGAGCCTTTGGGCTTTGCAGGCCCCAGAGTTCTCTCCACCCCATGGGAAAGCGGGGTTTCGCCAAAACGTACCCCAAGCGTTTTGCACAGCTGGGCTCAGACATCTCTCCCCTTCCCCCTTCACACTTGGTTGGCGTTTCCCACCAAGCTCACCCCAGTGCAAATGTGAGCCGAGGCTTCGGCAAGGGGCGGCATAGAAATGTTTAAATAAATAAATAAAATGCAAATGCGTCGTATCTTGCAACGCGGGGAAGACTTAATTCACTTTGGCCTTTCTCCCTGTAAAGTGTACTTAAAGCCCTAAATGGCTTAGGTCCAGAATACCTGAAGGATCGCCTCCTTCCCTACAAGTCCACATGCCCCTTAAGATCGGTGGGGGAGTCCTTGCTCCGGGAATCCACTTTGAAGGAGGTACAGAGGGTATCAACCCAAAGCAGGGCCTTCTCCGCAGTGGCGCCCAGACTATGGAATGAGACCCCCAGAGAGGTCTGCCTGGTGCCGATGCTATATTCTTTCCAGCGCCAGGTAAAGCCCTTTTTATTTGACCATTATTTTAATTACCAACGGTTTTAGATGTTTAGGATTTTCCCTTCACAGTGCACTTTCTATTTTTTCCTCCTTTTTCTTAAGTTTGCGATGTGTTTTATAGTGTTTTATTGTATTTCTATATTTTATATGGTACTTTTATATTTTGTAAGTTGTCCTGAGAGCTTGGCGACAGGATGGGATATAAATGTCTGTAATTAATTAATACTGCTTAAATCCAAGTCTCCATTTCCAAGACCCCAGTTCTCAGAGACATGGCAAAATATCGCTTATGCTTTCTGTTGCTCTGAACACTCCCTTTGCTTGCTGCAGTAGTGGATTCATCCACCTGGCCTGCTGAAGACGAATAAAAGTTGGGCTGCCTCAAGCCACCATTTTGGCAATTGTGTCTCCTGCGGCAGTTGGTCTTACGGAATTACGATGCAATGGAACTGGATTGATCTCTTTTGTGACCTGGATTTGTGTATTGGAGTGTAAGGTCACCTGCAACTCTGGGGGTCTCTTCACTGACTCCTCCCATTACTACATAAGATGCAAAGCCCTCTTGCATCACAGGGAGGCCCAATTTGCCAGTACCTAAACCCAAGCAAGCCTAAACCTAAGCCTAAGCCTATGTAGAAGAGGGAATTACCTACCAGCAGTGCAAATGTGCAGACCCCATGGACTGACACTAGAGCACCCAAGGAAAGAAACTCCAGAGACAGACTGCACTGTGAAATGGTCACACTACAATTGATTAAGGGGGTCGATTTGACTGCATGCATTTTTCTTTAATCACAGTAAATAAACGGGGCTGGAGCTTACAACCCACTTCGTGTGCAGGTCCCAGGTTCAGTACTTGCAGTAGGATTGGGAGAGAGCCCTGCCTCAGACTCAGCCTGGGGCAGCTTTCAGGGGGTCTCTGCTGATGAGAGGGGCAGAGGTCTGAGAAACCAGCGCCTGGAGGAGCCGCTCATTCCAGCCCTGGCATAGTCAGTGATGGCTTCACCCACCAGGGCAATGTGGGGCAGATGGACCCATGGGCCACGTGTCCGTCAGGAAAGTCCCTCAGGGCTGCAGAGCTCTGTGAGGGCCTCACATCAGGTCTCATCTCCCAGGGCGGTCAAATGAGGACGCAGCACGTGGAAAGGAGTATCCCCCCTGGGACACCCTGCACCTGGGACACCTTGCAGGCCTGCTGGCCACTTTGTCCCCTGCTGCTACGATCCCCTCCCGGTGGTCCATCTCGCATCCATCTTCTGCTCTGCCTCCCCACGACTTTCCCTCCCCTACTCTCCTCGCCTCCTCCCACAGCTGCCCTCGCAAACGGGAGCACAGAGCAGGGCTGCACCCGGGACAAGCAGCCGGACCCCGACTGCTCCAGGGATGTGCTCAGCACAACGCTCTCCCACAGGCAGGGCAATTCTCCGATTCAGGGGTTTCCGAGCATTTCTGTGGGAGTTTCATGTGTGACTTTTCAGGGTTTGGTCGGTCAGAAAAGCTCTCATCTATTTATGAGGGTTCTTCAAAAAGTTTCTGCACTTTTTAAAAACTCTATTTATTAAGAATTTCAAAAACAAATTACATCACTTTTCTACAGAGTCACCTTTGTTTGTGATGCATTTTTCCCAGTGTCATATCAACGTCGTAATGCCATCAGCAAAACCATCTAAAACATATTTATAAAATATAAAAATGTGGAAACTTTTTGAAGAACCGGCATATTTATATGCGTCCTCTCAGGGAGAAAAGCTGGGCTCCACCTCAAGTATTTGTCTCACCCTGAACATTTTTGGATTTATCCCTGTGTGGACACTTAAATGTGCTCTAAACTATACATTGTGACAGGTTCCTTCCACAGTTCCCATAATTTCTGTTTCCTGTTCTAAATGAAATAGCTTCTCCTGGAAAAACTTTCCACAGTCCAACCATGGTTTCTCCTCTGTTTGAAGTCTCTTGCGCTTTCAGATTTGTCTGTGATGAATGCTCATACAACCACTGGGGTTTTATATTTTATTCCACCGTGTGAATTCTCTCAAAGCTGCTAGCTTTCCCATTCATCTTAAATCTCTTTCCACACTCCCAACTATGTTATCATTTCTGCACAATGCAGGGTTTTAAATGGGTTCTGCCTTTGGTGTGACATAAAGTTTGAGTTCTTAGCATAGTCCTTTTCTCACACCAAACATTTAAAAGGTTTCTTCCCTGTATGGGTTCTCTGATGATTCACAAGGCTTGCCCTTCTAGAGAAGCCTTTTCCGCACTCCTGACATTTAAATAATTTCTCCCCTATGTGAATTTTTTGATGGTTCATTAGACTTGTGTTTCTGTCAAAGCTCTTTCCACACTCCACACATTTAAATGGCTTCCCATCCGTATGAATTCTCTTGTGCTTCATAAGGTAAGAACTTCGATGGAAGCACTTTCCACACTCCAAGCATTTAAATGGTTTTTCTCCTGTATGGATTCTTTGATGGTACCTAAGGTTTGTGTTTATACTGAAACCCTTTCCACATTCAAGGCATTTATATGGCTTCTCACCTGAGTGAATTCTCTGATGGTATGTAAGGTTTGTGTTTCGACTGAAGCTCTTTCCACAAGCAAGGCATTTAAATGGTTTCTCCCCTGTGTGGATTCTCTGATGGTCCACAAGGCTTTTTTTCATACTGAAGCTCTTTCCACACTCCAAGCACTGAAATGGTTTCTCTCCTGTGTGAATTTTTTGGTGAGCTTTAAGGTTTGAGCTGTGAGTGAAACTTTTTCCACATGCCAAGCATTTAAAAGGTTTCTCCCCGGTGTGAATTCTTTTGTGCTTGAAAAGGTATGAGCTTCGATGGAAGCTCTTTCCACATTCTAAGCACTGAAGCGGATTCTCTGCTGTGTGGGAGTGCTGGTGGAAAGTGAGCTTTAGTTCATGACCAATGTTTTTTCCACACTCCAACCATCTACATGGCTTACATCTGGCTCTTTCCAACAATAGCCTGCGCAGTTCACTCTCGTTCTCCTTCCTGTCACCTGCCAGAAATGAGAAATGTAGTTAGCAAAGTCACAGGTGAAAAAGAGGATTAGGTCAAAGAATCAACAACGCTTGCTGGTGTCCAACTAGCAGAAACTGTTCAGTTACTCTAGAGCAGCAGTTTTCAACCACTGGTCCACGAACTGGCACCAGTCCACCTGAATTTCCTCCCGGTCTGTGAAAGAGGATCAGTTCCAGGCCCTGCTGGAGTGCTTGGCCTCCTGATAAGCCCACCCCCCCTCCCCCGGGAGCCAGGGGAAAGGTCTCCATAAGGGCAATGTTCTTTCCACCAGAACTGGCCTGAATGGTGGAGACCTCCCTCTTTGCTGTAGTGCCTGCCTTTTGCCTGACCTGTTCCCTGTCTTGCTGTCTTACCTCCACAATACAGCCTGTGCTTCTCCTGCACCTTGCCGGGCCCTTACTGCATTTGGTACCTGGGGCATCCTGCCTGGCTGTGTTGCCTACCAGCTGACGTTCAGCTCCTGCCTCTTGCCTGAGCATCCCTCCTGCCCAGTTATCCTGCCCCGAACTGAGCCTCTGTTTCTCTTTGTGTTCTCGATCCTCGGCTTGCCTGTGACCTTCTGCTGCCCAGTTGCACGTTGGCTCCTGCCCTGGCCTGCTCAGGGACTACATCCCGAAGCTGCCACTGAGCCTTGCTTTTGGACACTGTGCTGGCTCCCCTCAAGTCCTGCTGCCTGCCTCATCCCCAGGGAATCTGTCCGCAGCTGGTTTGCCACCACGTGTGTGGAACACTGGCCTGGCTGCTCGGCCTGGCTGTTCTTACGCTTTGATGTTCCTGACCCCTGTGCTTAGCCCACGTGGCTGTGCATACGAAGTGCTGTACGGAGGCCTCCCTGTCAGGCGCTGAGGCAGCTCCAGGGTCCATCTTCAGGCCACAGGCCAGAATAACAGCCCTGGTAGTTGCAGGGTTGAACCCACAGCCTGCTGCAGCGGCCAGGGCCCCTGTGAGCACCACCTGGGAGCCCAGAGGGAAGAGTTAGATAAGAACTGCTCTTCCCTCCAGAAGCTGCCTCAGCAGCAAAGGTCTCTTAACTTGTTGTGGTGCTTTCTGGCTCTGAACCCTGAACCTATGCCTGCTCCCATTCCTGCTGCGGGAACTCGCCCATGATTCCTGCTTCTGCTCCAAAGGCACCCTCTCCTTGTGTGGACTCTGCCTCTTGACTCCCGGTTCCTGCTTATCTACAATTGGCTTGAATTCTGCTTGGACTTTAGTTACTTCTTGGGATGAAGGAGTCTGGGTCCTGGTGTTTATAAGCTTAACCAGCCGCCATGCCTTGGACTCTGACACTCCCTGCCTTATTCCTGCGGTCCCTGGAGACATTCAAGGAGGAACTGTGGACAGCAAGACCCCTCCTCGACGGGGCCCTTCTTCGGCTCTAAAGTCTGCATCTGGGCTGCCAAACCCACGAGAGGTCCCAAAATCCACCCAGGGAGGAAGAAGAGGGTGCTGGCTGACCCAGCAGAGCAAGAGGAGGTGACAACTGTTTTGACAATCACAAGAAACAGGGAGCCTTACCCAGGGAAGCCACCATCCCAAGGTTCTCCTCCATGACTTCCCGGTGCAGGGCTCTTTGGTCTGGACACAGCAGGGCCCACTCCGCCTCAGTGAAATACACGGCCACATCCTTGAAGGTCACCTGAACGAAGAAGCATCTGTGAGCAGGAAAAAACCAGTCCTTCTCGCACTCCTGAAGACAATCAGGAAAAAACTGATGACGTCTGGAGTTGCCCCAGAGAGCAAGTCATGCCCTTAGTGGGCAGCTCTGGCAGATCAAAGGGAAATGGAAAGGTCATTTCGTGCTAAAGAAAATGTGCAGAGGAAAAGGGGACCCTTCCCAGGTCCTGGGCGATCATCCCTCGTACCTGCTCTGGTCTCACAGGAACCATTTCCAGTCCACCACGACGAGGAGATGAGCTACTGCATTCTGTCCTCATCCTTGGCCTGTTTCCTATGAACCACACAAAAAGAGAGACTTATTCCACCTCTTCCCCATTTGAGCCTGCTCATTCTTGTGCATATTTAGCCTAAACAGTGCCTTCAGCACATGACAGGAAATATTCCACTGGTCTAGAAATAAAGCCCAGATTTCTTGGTATAGGGGGAAAAAATAGAGGAAACAAACCTTAAGTGGACCAAAGCTATCAAAAGAGCCCAGCATGGACCCAGTGAAATGTTAAATCATCAAGATGGAGTGGAGAGAAGGAAACTGAACACCTGTTGGAGGAGGAGAAAAGGGAGGGAAAGAAAGAAGGAAAAAGAGGGCAGAGACAACCACCTCACATTCTGCGTAGTTCATTTCCTGGTTCAAATTGAGGCTGTTTCTAGGAGCAACCAGAAGGGCTCAAATATATCCCATTAATCCACACCCAATGGGGTGGCATGTTCATTACCTTCCTGCGTCTGCCGGCTACCTGAGGGAGCCTTCTCGGGCTGGAGGAAGTCAGGGACATCTTCTGTAAAACATTCCTGAACAGAGAAGGTGGCAGAGAGACACACGGCTTAGAAAAGAGAGAGTTAAGGACAAGGTCTAAGTCAGTTTCTCCAGCCTTTGGGGACTCAAAGGCACATTGGCTGAGCAGTTCCTAGGATCCCAAATTAGGGGTTGTG